CTAGTTGGCTAAAAGCTTTTACGAGCGTCGGATACGATATTACATTTGAACCGCTATTAATAGATGCCCTGAAATTCACGCCGTGCTAATGTCCAGATAAATGTAATTAACGATAACGTTAATGCACGTAGCTGCAACATCGATAGAGCGCAAATTATTGAATTACTTTTCCATGGCTTGCAGAGCGCATATCACGTAGGGCAATTGCCAGAAGCTGGCGTGTAAGGCTTCGCGAGTTCATTGCTCGTCCGCGTATTTTCACGGCGGATGTATACACGGCTTTATGTCTTCGCGTTCGCGCGCGCACTCATAAAGCGATCCCACCACTATTCAAATGGCCGACGCGAGTTGCTTCCACTTTGCGCCGCGCTCTCGATCGAACGATCAAACGCCCGAGTCGCATAACAAGGGACCAACATCGCGCGCACGCGCCCACGTACCTGCAATTGATCGGACCGTCTTTGTCTTCGACGGGCTCGTCGTATAATTCATCGGCCAAGTGGTTTGACGAGCACGTGCGCGGGTAAAAAGCGAGTTCGTCGAATATATCTTAAATTTTCTCGCGACTCTTCTTCTCGCTTCGTTCTGTCTCGATCCTCCGCTGATTGAGCTGGGCATGAGAAGGAGAAATGCAAAACAAACGAAACGTCAAGTCTCGCGAGGATTCAGTGATATATAGCGAGAGAGCTTTTCGAGCACACAGCGCTGTCATGTATCTTTTCTCGTTTGCTTCGGAGCTGTCTTTTTCAATAGTCTCCGCGAAAGGCCTGGAGAATTGGGTTCTGCTTGTTCCGCACACGAATACCCGCAGTCTCTTTTTCCTCGATCCGATCGCTTTTTTTACGTGACGCAGACCAGTTGACTTAATAACGCGCAATCGTTAGCGATCGTTTAGTTTTCTCCGTCGCGACGACGACGACAACGACGACGACTAAAGGTCAGCACGAAAGCTCATACTGTGCTTCAGCGCCTTCGCTATAAGTACTTGCACACTGGCGTGCAATGGGATTCTTTGCGCCGAGTGCCGTGATAGGCTTGGCGTAAAGAGATTGCACCATGTGAATCGCGTGCGCTCTCTTCACGATTCACTCGCGACGCTTGTTGTTATTGTTTTCTTTCTTTTTGGGTCTCTCTAACGTGCTTTTCTCGACTCTCTCCTTACGACAGTTATATCGGATCAATCGATGCGCGTACACTCGGTGCACGTTCGCTATTCGATAACGGCACTTTGCGAGAGTGACAGCGGCTGCAGTTTTGACGTAACTTTCTATCTATTCAACAGGATCTTCAAATAACCGAATTATCAAAGTTCCGAGGCAATGCTGCCGAGTACATGCACACGTCGAGGCAACGCCAAAGCAGACAGCAGCTATTTACTCGCATATCCAAAACTTTCAGGTACGCAACGATAAGCCTCCTCGCGCTGATGACGCTCTGAGAATTTCATGTAGCGGCCGTCTCACGCACGTTATACACGTGCAACGAACAACGCGCGCGAGTGCGACCCGATTGCGCAGATATGCGATTTTCAGGCACGTGCTCTGCATTGTTTGGTCTGATTTTACGCGAGCCAAATGCCGATGGATGCATTATTAAATATCATAACGGATTGCGAGATCGTCTGCGTTTGGCAGACACGGAGACTATATTTTGCGCGACACGCGTGTTTATCACTATATCAAATGAGGATTAAGGTTTCTCTTGCGTGCGTGAGTTGCTGCTGTTACCATCAATTATGGTTATACCTGTCGTTCTTACTCAACGTCTCGGTGGGTAAAAGCTCCCACTGGCAGTTGTTACAAATGGTGAGGAAGGTAGATGAATTTGATGGATTCGGTTGCGTTAAGCTCTCAATGATACGTTATTATATTTAACCGAAACGATAATTTAATTTTGGCAAATGTGTCCGTTCCAACCAGTATAGATAGAGAAAGAGAGAGAGAGAGAGAGAGGGAGAGAGAGAGAAACGAAATTGCATGCAACGGGCTCGGAGCAATTTCATCAAAAGTATCGGCAAAGAATTTTCGACAAGGTTTCCGCGAGATTATATTTCATTGTACAATAAAAGATGAGCGAGGAAATCCAAAACCTTTCGATTTCCAAAATCGAGGAAAAGATTTTTCACATTTTTTTACGGATTCATCCAAAAAGCTAGAGAGGAAAAGAGAGAGAGAGAGGTAGCTAGAAGTAGGCGTTCACCCGTGCGCGCACACTTCCGGTGGCAATTACTGTGATAGCGCCCATTGTTTGGCATCCGCACACTATCCGCGCGCGCAGCTGCGAGCAAGCGAGGGATGAAAGGCCGCGAGGCTTATCTGGCCGTGGGAATCAAGCCGAAGCGCAGTGTGGTCCGCTATTTGCTATTATAGCCACGTGTACGCACACACGCACGCAGATACATAGCTGCTTACCGTAGACTAGATGAGATACCGAAGGAGAAAAACGGTTTTAGTAGGGTAGTTTTATCGTAGATAACAGTTTGATAAGTAGATAGAAGGATTTGTTTAGTTGGTCGATCACGAAAAAGAGCCGTATTCGTGAGCAGAGAGACAGACGGATCGACTCAACGCGATCAATTAGTTATGCGAAGACCAATTATCCGCCATGTTCCTGGGTATCATGTACGTGAATCATCAACTAAGCTTGCCACATTAATTAGTTGCATATTCTCTCGACGATGAATAGTTTTGAAATGATATTCGCGTGTGTGTATATATGTACTATGCGGAACTAATTATACGGCTTTACGCGGTTTATAAACGAAAGACAAACTTGAAGAATTAATATCGGCGAAGTACGTACTGCGCACTAAATACAAACTTTTTCATTTTTCAAAAACCTCCACAAGTGACATTATCAAAGCGCTATACGTATGGAATATAAAAAATTGTAGACTTTCTAATTCGAAAAAATGAAATCTTATCTTACACATTATTTAACAGCCCTATCAAAAATATAAGCTTTTCTTTTTAATTCCAAATTATTTTCATTGCTTTTTTGTTAAAGGGAAACAATAAATAAATGCGAAGCACAAAATATACATTTTTATAAAAAGAATATAAAAAAAACGCAAAGGAATTTTTTTCTAACGTTTGAACGCTTAATGAAACTCTCAATTGATCACGTAATAAAGTTTGCAAAAAAATTTTTAGTTGTATATATAAATAGAACCATTATTATAATGTACACTTTTTCATAACGAGATACATTTTTCAATATCGAAGAATATAAAAAAGAAAAAAAGATTATTGAAAATCCACTATAAACTCTAGCTGAACTCAGAGCTCACATTAGTTTAATCGATTGAGCACGATTTCAAGTTTGTAATATATCTCCAAAAACTTACTTTCAAATCCCTCAGTTTTCCTACTAATGTTTTAAGTTTATACAGTGATTAATTTCGGAGTGTTTTTTACATGTGTTGTTCAATGAGAAAGCCATTTAAAAATAAATCTAAGTAGTGGCTCATAAAAGAAATGCTATTAGCTGTATTCTCCATGAAATGCAAAATGAGTTATGAGTTAAAAATTTTGTTTTAGTTAAACGACTAATAATCAACTATTTATAGTAAAGAGTTTTTATAAAATAGTCTTGTTATGTGATTCTAAGTGGACGTAGGTGCGTCACTTTTGTTACGCGTGCGCAGTTTGCACTCCAAAATCAGAAATTAAATAGCTCTAATTAAATGCAGTATGTTTAGATGTAACATTTAAAAACTTGCTGAAAATTCTAAACACAAAAGAAAAAACGACTAAAAGAAATTTTCTTCTTTGAGCAATTGACGTTTCAAGGTTTCCTCTTCAAGAAGACAAAAACGAGAGGAGGTGGGAAGCATTCATTCGTATCTCTTAACACCTCTATTTACGACCTATGGCTCTTTCAGCGCGACCACGCGCAGAACCGTGCATTCACCGAGCTAGTTGAATGGATCACAGCAGTAGCAGGGTAAGAGCTAAAGCACTCAAAAAGGATAGGGTCGATTTATCAGGATTAGGTCGTTCGCGTATATACGTGTATTTGACTTGAACTGCGTAATATGCACTGAGGCTAGGTAGAACAACCTTCAATAAAGAGAGACAGACAGGGTGAGAATGATCTCATGGTATGCGCACGAGATAAGGATAGCTAACTGGTCCGGGCAAACTGCGAAGCTCTTTAGAGTAAGCAATACTTATGCTAGACGCTACGCGTGCCATGTTGAGATAGAGCTTAATGTTGCTGAAGATTTGGAGTTTTCTGCCAGCTGCTGCTGCTTGTTATTTAGATAGCTCTGCGCGTGGTTCGTTAAATGAACACTTTAGAAAGCAACGTCTAGTCAGCTTTGGTCGTGAGGGTATCATCTATAATGAAGTTATATATGATATATGAAAGTATCATTTATACGCGGAGGATTTGGAGAAAGACAAGAGAAGGCCATGCAAGCACGGCTCATCAAAACAACCCTGGCATTGTCCCACTACAGAGGAAATGTCAAATTTGCGTGACAGCTGCGAATATCACGACGACCGACTTTTACTTTATTTTATTCTCATCTTTCACCATCAAGGCTAAACTCTGTTGCGTTACCCGTTGAGTCATTATATTCGTCTACTGTTCGTATCACGATTTCTTTTTTTTCTCTCTTTAAATCACTCGAGCGAAAATTTAATTGGACGTCTAGTTTATTACACTTGGTCAAATAAAAGTAATAACTAGAAAGGTAATGTTTTTGTGCTTAATAGATATTGAAATTTAACGTTCGTTTAGATTTTCAAAGATTTCCAGTAGTATAAATTGATAATTGTCAGACATCCATTGAAAATTGACGTTTTCACATAATACGCGCTTTTATTTCATTTTCAATTGCGTACTGCAAGTGGAATAAGTAAAATCTCGCTGTTCAGCAAAATTTCCATTGGAAACTGTCTCGTGAAAATATTTGTTATTCGGCACTCTTTGTATATTCGTACTTCGCAAAAGCATCGTCGATAATAATGACAATAGAAAAGAATAGTACTTACTTGTAGGTGGTACGAAGGCGAACAGTACCTTCCAGAAGATCGTAAGGCAGTGCATAAGATAATCGCCAGCCGAGGGTGCCTGTGGGGGCCTGCCCCCTTCGCCTTCCTCAGCGCCATCCTCATCGTCGTCACCACCGCTAACGGTCAGTGCTTCCGTGAACTGTTCCTTCCATGAGCTCGTACCTGTCAACACAGCATTGTCCGATTATTATTTATACACATTTTCTCGCTTTCTTTAAATTGATAGCCCTTGGAGCTCGTGATTAATGTTACTCTGAAAGTGAGGACGTATCACGACGGGCGAGGAAGGAGCCAAGGATGAAATATGTGCTGCTCGTCGTTCGTTAAGTGTTAATTTGTAGGGCGAGACTGCTCGCGTCCGAAACTTTGTAAACTTTGTTGTGGGGGTAGCTGAGAGAGTGTATTGATATTGTACTTTGTCAGTGTGTTAGCTTCTGTATTAACTTCTCTATTAGTTTTTGATCGGTAGATATGGTGCGTGTATGCAGTTTTCAACGGTTTCGCTTCTGGCTGACTATTTTTCATAACTCATTATCATCCTGACGTTTCGATATTTCAAACGCCAAAGAAAAAGAGAGAGAACAAAATAATAATAAAAGAAAAGAAGAATGCGGCGGAGGAAGTAATCTTCCAGAGCTTTTAAATTTCACTCATTTTTTTCTGTGAACTGGACCTTATTGCATGACAATCTCCGTTGTTAAATCTCACGATTTTTCATCATGGATGAGTACTTATACTGACAAGAGAGAAAGAGGAAGAGTTACAACCGCGATAGCATGTAGTGGCTTTGCTTATCGCGTGGAAGCATAGGAAGACCGAATTAATTGGGGTAATAGTGTAGATAATTGTCAAATGCGTTATTACCGCTACAAAAGAACAATTTGTATGTGACTAGGTTGGTCGGTGATGCAAGTGTTGACCGAAGAATTATTGTACGCGATATGAAGAAACAATCGATTGTCAGCATGTGTATACGTACTTTGTTTGCGTTTATTCAAAAATAAATGGATTATTGATTCGCCGGCTTGACAAATTGAAGGCAGCTAAATCGTTCGTGTATTGAATAGAATCACTGTATGATAATGAAATTCACAAATGATTAATCAGCCGAATAGATTATTATTTTTAATTAACTTCTTCTACCGTCGTATTATCTAAATTAATCGTCGGCTGTTCGGTGTATCTCATTACTTTTCAGTAAAGTTACGTCTAGACTAGACTGCGCTTTGAATATACCAAAACCGAATGGTCTACGAATAAATGATAATAGCGAGGCACGGAGAGAAAGGAAGGCAGCAGAGTTTCAACGAAGGCCAAGGCAAGATTCATCGATACAAGCATATCCGCAGCAGCTCTAGCCGTGAAAATATTCACAAGCGCATGCACACGCGTATCGGTGGAGCCATTCGTCTTCGAGGTCTCGCTGACAGGTGATTTAATGTCAAGGCCGCAGATCGCTGTGCTGTCCCAGTTGTTTCGCTCAATCGAATATTCCGGGAACCGTGGCAGACAAATTTTCGTTCAGGCATACAAATCCCTTGCATTAGATGTCTGAGAGTGGAGCTAAGGTATTCCGAATGCATGTACCAGATCTTTCTTTCCTTGCGTTCGATAGATTCGCGGATTTGTCAAGTAAGTACTTGCCTGAAAGATAATGACAGGTTCGTGCTGGTATTTTCCTCGTCGCGCGCGGGTATACGAAAAACGGTCATTTATTTGGTTGAGCTTGAAAGATATTTTGAGCACGTGTTTTTGAGTTTTGGTATTGTCAGCGGCTCAACTCGGATAGCCAAAATTGCTTTGAAGGATATTGACTATTAACATATAGATAGAATATTCAAGACAAATAAAGCTCTTGCTTTGGGAATGTGGTATGTGCATTGTGTTCGAGGACAGCTATTGGAATAAAACTCTCGAGGTACTATGTTTGAAAGCTGTTTAGAGACAAACTGATAAGGTTCATCAAAGGTCGGTACAGCAAAATCGTGGCGAGCAAAAAATACATCTTTGAAAATCAACGTTTGTTAAGACCCCCCCCCCCCTACCTCCAAAAGAACGATGCTTTATGACCACGGATTCTTGCGAAGAGAGACGCTACTAATTAGAACGAAAGGAAGGGCGTGCTTGGAATTCAAGAAATGGCGCTGCGTTTTCTGGTTACAGACAGAACGCCGCGCCGGCTGCCTTAGAACGTTGGGTTGTAGATTTCACTGTGTTACTTTCTTTCTTTCTTTTTGATTAACGACGTCTGCCTCGAGATTTATCTCAATAATGACTGATTCTATTAAAGAATTATTATTTTCTTTATGATCGTGGTTTCGTTCTTTCAAATTCGTACTGCTGGAGATCAACAAAATCGGGAGGAAAATTACGTATCATAATTTCTAAAGTAAACTTACTTGGAATCGCTTGCATTCGATATTTAATATTTCTAACATTAATCCGCTTCATTTCTTTAAAGCGCTCTTAGAAAGCCTCGTCAATCTTCTAGATTTTAGAACTATACCAACACGATCAATTTTCTTATTTTTTGTATCGAGATGTGGATGAAAAGGAAAGAGAGAGAGAGAAAATTTCGAATTATCTTCGTACGGAGTCATTGAATAGCGTTATTTTATCGGAAGTAACGATGAAAGATCCGAGGGAGAGCAGAGATGAAAGTAGAGAAGCGCAATACAAAAGCAGTGAACCGTAAAATGTAAAAGGAAACTAAGCGCGCTGATAAAAGAGCTGCCGTTGAGCGACCGTCACAGGAAAGAGCGATGACTCTGCTTTACCCTCTTGCCAATCAAGCATTACTTTACTCGGCGTCGATCTCTTATTTGCGCTGAAAGTCAAACGATTAGTGAGCGTTACATACGAATCGATAATGATTCATACGGGACTTGAGTTTTTATCGCTGAAATCAGTGCATGTTCTGATTACGAAAATGATTTTTCTTCAATGCTATAAAAAGTATAGGAAATGAGTTGAATGAGAACAATGCGCGAAAAAATTGATAAGTAAAATCTGATACGAGGCTCACCCAAAATCAACGAGGCGTTGGCTCTCTGAACGAGTTTGTCGACAGTATTCTTAAATTCCTTGGATTCCTTGATCCTGATCTGAGCGCGTGAAATGTCACCGAGTTTTGGCCTGCCCAGCAGCGACATTTTCTCCTCTTCGGTGCGATCTTCCGGTGCTTTCAGCTCTGCCTCAGCCGCCAGACCTGCCTCCGCTGAAAATAGATCACATAAATACGTTAATTTGCTGAACGGCCATTTTCTGTTTCTTTCTTCTTTTTATCGACGATATTTCTCCGGTAAGCCCCGAAGTGTCACGTAAACGTCGCGAGGCACCGTTAATTACGCAATGTTTAATTACGCGAAGAATTTTATTGCAACTAGTATTTCACGTAGCATGTCAAAAGTTATGTCAATTGAAATGCCACGCCACGGCCTCGTTGAATTTCATTATTTTTTCCTACTGAACATCCGATAATAAAAATAAATTTCATTTGGAAAGCCACGTAACGCCGATCGGCTTACTACTCTCGCGCGCGATGAAGTTCAAAATATTCCACTCATGCTTGTGGTCAGTCATGAATCAAAAAGTATAGCTCAAAAACGGGGAAGAGCGAACTTGAAAATTCGAATTTCGAGAAAGTTTGAGGTAATTATGAAAGTACGTGAGCGTGCGATTAATCGAGTACGTGTAGCGATAAAAGTGACGTCGCGCGCGCGGCGCGTCTGGACTATCGATTGTCTGCCCTCCTCTTTCTCTCGTCCCATGAATAATGTGCCGTATAAGGTTGCAGATGTCGATGGCCCCGCGTTCGATACTCGCTTCTAGAGTACTTTTACGTGTACCATCAGCGAAACGTTTTTCTTTCTTGCACACACACAAACACTCACACATACGCATACACGCACAGACTAGCACGATACTTGTTTTTGTTTTCAAACGCTACGCTTTATTCACGCTTCGTTTGCACAATCTAGTTATAGCTTTTCTGCTCTACTTGTAAGCTTTTTGGCGACCATTGTTATTTTAGCGGCAGAAATCGTGCAATCGCACTCTACGCAAAGACAGCTATAGACACTCTCGACGATTTTTGTAAGGAAACCATGTTAGATGCTATTATTGAACTTTTATTTATTGAATATGGCGTTTTCAAGCCATGAAAACGGTGCAAGTGCAAACAGCATATTTTATCCGTTGTTTATTGAGATACATTTACTCAGTTGTTATTGAACATAGTCACCATCTAACTACACAAACTATACAAAATTTACAAATTAACTTTGTTCAAATCGCCCTCAGCAAACATCGTATGAGAGTCGTTGGTAAAAAATTGCTCGGTGGAACGCCTACACGATAATGCTTTTAGTGGTCCGTTAAGTCGATGCTATTAATTTTATTGGACTCTGAATAATAAATAAAAAAAGAAAGTGCGGTCCTTATTCAATATGTGTTGGCTCTTCGCATTAATTAGCCGACTCCGTATTTTTCTCTCGCTCGCTGCCGAGATAACGAGCACTGTCGCGCTATAAATCGTCTGTATACATTATTTCTCTTTTCTTGTATATATTTTATGTTGGATACATTTTTGATTTTAAATAAGTGTTCGAATGTGTGTTGTAAGGTATAACGCGCGATAAATGGTTCGTTTTTTCTTGATTGTCTTCTCTCGTTGCGACATGGCAGTTGTGATAGTGTTCGACTTCGTGCTAAAGCTCATCCGATCAATTAAACGCTTTGAATGCGCTTTTGCTCATGAGCCTGCAGCTCTTAATGCTACTTCGTAGCTTAGTCAACTAAGCTTTATCGAAGTTATGATTGTATGGTATTGGCTTGCGATACAAAGATTTGTAATAGCTGTAATTACGCACAATTTTTGAGATTGTGTACTTTGAATTACAAGAAGAAATTTCAATTTTTGTTTAGAAATGGCTACCAGAAATACATGCAAAAAGATTCTAGTGCATAGACGGTTGACCGTGAGTGCCATCAAACTGATTAAATTCATAATTTATAAGAGAATGTTAAAATAGAAATAATTTATAGCAGTATTTTATTAAGGCGATGTTGGACGGCAAAAATTGACCGGTAAGTAACCATATCTCACTTGTAAACATTTTTTTATACATTTAAATGATACAATCGTGCTAAAACTTGGCAGGGTCTTGGAATATATAGTTTCTTAGAGAGCTATTTTTTTAAACATCAATTTAGGAAAATTAAAATTTCGGACTTTTCCAATTCTCTGGACGATTGTATTTTTTTTTATTCGCAGGTATATAGAAAAAACTGATATGATGGATAATTCGTCATTATTTTTTTAAATTTGATGAAATACTTTGGATGTTATCGAATTCCGGGATTTTATCGAACTTTTCTCTGAAAAATTGATGAATTATGGTGAACCTTCAGTGAAATATCAAGAATAAATATCAAAAGGGCTCACTACTTTTGTGTTTTCAAAATCAGCGAAACAAAGAAGAAATTAATTAAGTTATTAAATTAATGAATTCAACCTACAAAGTAACTTGAGAAATTGAAACCCGAAATTAATTATTTTTGCAAGTGTGCAATTAGAAACGTGCAAGTAATTTCAATTCGGAATTTGCGCATATTTTTTTATGGTTTGACGTTTTTTTACCAAGCTAATCAATTTTCACCTTAAATATAAATTAAAAATCTAGATTTCAAAGGGAAACTTTTATTTTATCTTTACTATAGGTAAATAAACTTTTAAGTTATTTACTACTTCACTTTCAGAAAATGTAAGTTCGAAATAATAGTTGATTGGAATTTTCATTTAGCTAATAAAATAGTAAATAATCTGAATGCTCCATCTGTAATTTCGGCAAAAATCAAAGAAATCCAAAGCAAAGTAGAATTCGTAGTAAGGTCTATTGAGTTATTTACGAATCATTCCCTACGGCGACGACAACGTCGACCGCCGCGAACAAAATGCCGCTCAGAATTTTATTCCCCAGAGACATTTCATTGCTTGTCAATGAATACTTTGAGGCCTCTATTTGGATTATACATTCAGAGATTTGGCTCTCTTCTGACGATGCGAAGTAAGCGTTTATAATTAGCCTCTCATTATGAAATGCAGTTTATTGAATATTTTATTTAATAATTTTCAAAATATATTCCAAGACATTTGAAAAATTGTTGATGAAATATGTTTGACATGTACTAGAATTTATAAAATCGACTATCGCATGTATAAAGAAACTAGTGAAAAAGTCGATATTCAGTCAGAAGTACACAAGTATGATTTTCATATCAAATTTTCGAATCTAGAATCTATGATGAATCAAGTAACAAAATGACAAAGACAAATCATTTGACATCCATCAATTTTCACCTGCGCGTCATCCTCTCAACTCACGCTATTTGACACGTTTCATCGCGTGGTGCTTTTGTAAGTTGCTCGCAGCTCGTAAAGTAAGAAAACACGAGTTGCGTAGCTGCTACGGATCACAAAGAGCACACTGTTTATGACCAGCTGTAAAATTTTTTAACTGCTCTCACGTTATGTGGGCGCGTGAGGGACAAAACTGAACGAGATACGCATGTAAAGAAAAACGGGGAGCACAAGAGGAAGAGAAAAAAAAATAGATAAACAAGATGGCAATGAAAAGTATGCGCATAGAAGTTAGAACAGGAAACCGTTAATAAAAGAGAATAAACAATCGGGTATTTCGTGCACTCGGAAAATTCCAAGATTACGTACTATTTTCTGAGTCGCGAGGAGGAAATTAAATTTAGTCTGTCGGCAGCTCACTCGATATAGATCTTAGAAGGTGTTGTAGCGGACGGCCATTAACTTATAGCATCGAAAACTTTCGGGCGATATTTTATTGGTGATCTAGGTGAACAGTACTCTGACTGAACTGCTGCATTATCAGTTTATGAATTTTCCGGTGTTATGGAAAGATAGTTTATAACTATAAATTCGATTGCAATGTTTAGCATCTCATATCGTTTACGATATTTTTCTATCTAAGTATCTGCAACACCTTGACGAAAAAGCAAAAAGACGTCATTAATAAAAGTAGTCATGTCAGTGGATTCAATTAGACCAAAGTTGAGTAAGTAGGTGCATTACACAGTTATGCAACGTCCCAATAGCGGCGAAGCCTTACACGCCGTGCGAATGAGAGAAGAGAAAAAATCAATTTAGAACAGAGCCAAGGCGAAAGAAATATTGGCAATGAAAAAGCTAATATAACTCGTGCGCTTATTATAACTCGAGCGCGACAGCTCGAGTGCATCGCTTTTCAAGAATTTCACCGAACAAGAGAGTAGTCCGAACACTTGGCTTCGTGGCAAATTCGTTGTTCCTCGAATATATAGAGTGATAGGGAGGCAGATACGTGTACTTATACGAGTACAGGGTAAGGGTATTGGCTGAAGAAGCCGAGCGACGAAGGGGCTACAGAGCAATTGGGATCCAGTCGTAAATCTGCAGATCCAAGTTTTATACCCTGTTCTTCTTTTATTCGAGATACATCTTACGTTGTTTTATTTACAATTCCAATTTCTTTTTGGGCTTGCAAACATTCGCATATCACGAGTGGAGGTTATATTCAATAGAGCTCGCAGTCACGGAAGAAAGGTCAGGTATTAACAGTCCCTTTAAGGAGATACGTCCGGAAAAGGTACTTTAGCGAAGTAGTGATAGCGGAACGAAAATGGCAGCCGGAAGATCATCCGGCAAGAGAGATTTGTTGGTAGAAGAGAAAATTAGAGGTAGATGTGTGCGGCTGAGAAAAAGAAATCGATCGCGGGGTGTTGGCTGAGTCCAAAGTGGAAAAACGCTTTTACTAGGAGAAAATATAATCGATGAAATTTCCCCCCAAATGCAGAACAAAAACCATTCTCCCTGTGCCGCGCGAGACTTCAATCACGAGCGAGCTGAATAAATTAACCAACAAATAACAAAAACAATGAAATCGGAAAAGGACGTTGTCAACAGCACCGCTATGCGGTTTCTGCGGCGCGCACATTTTGTAGCTCCGCTGTTTTATCGAGAAACCGAAGGAAAGTTTCGTTTTTCTTTTCGTAGCTGGCACATAGGGCTCTTTCTGTCTCTGCAGAATCGTAATAGACGACTTTTGTTTCGCATTACAGTATTGCCTTATTTTACCCTTTGCATACGGACAAATGTTTGAAATATCGAATGTGTGAATGTGTGTGCCAGTAGTCCTTCTCTCCTCT